CATTGCTGTTACCGCCGCTGCTGCTTCCGCCCGGCGACGGTATTGGCGGCCGCAACGGCGGGTGCGGCGTCGACAGCGGCGTGGCGCGTGGCGTTGATCTTCCGCTGCTGTGTGTCGCGGAGCTGCGGCGCTGCGGCAGCACGCGCGGGCTGTTCAATCGGCGCCCCGGCAGCCGCGGCGGACTCGTAGCGAGCAGCTGCTGCAGCCATGCCTCACCTTCTGTGATGCGCTTCGGCGTGCTGAATTGGCGCTGCTGCGGCTGCTGTTGCCACATGTCTCATCCAGACTCCCTGCGGGGGCACACGGCACTGACTACACCAGCGAGGGAGGAAAGAAGAGTCCAGCAAACCAAAATCCACACAGAAAGGGGGGGGGAGAAGAAGAATGCGTCACTTGGGAGAAATAAGGAAGCAACCCTGGAGCACACCAAAAAGGGCGGTAACGCAAGGAGACACACATACACCCACAAGCGCGCAAGGTCTAAAACAAAAAACAAAATCCTTTGCTCTCACCCCAAATTTTTCTACTTTACTTCTCTTTCGTTTTTCTCCAGGCTGTTTTCCCTTCTCGCCTCGTGTTTCTGGCACTTGTGTTTTCTTCCAGGCACACGTTGGGGAAACAAAAGCAAAAGCTCCCCACCACCATCCGCATACGCACCCGCAGGCGATTCCACCCGTAAAATTCACACACTCACTCTCTCACTATGACCTCGTGCTCGATAGCACCAGATGGGCAAGGAGACTGTGGCCAGCTGTCGCCACGGGTGCGGGGAAATATGGGGAGGGGGACCGGGTCTCTACTACGATGTGTAGGCCTCAAAAGTCTCCTGCACGGGAACGTTGCAACTGTTCACAGGGCACCGGCCGCATATGTTTGTAGAGCAGTCCTTGCACAGCACCTGGTGCTTGCAGGGGTAACAGATGACGGTACAGAGGCGCCTGTGGCAGACCATGCACTTTGACCGCTCATTGATGGTCATGCGCACCTTGCTAATCATTTCCAGCACCTCCCGCTCGATTTCCTGGAGCTGTTCTAGCGGGCGCAGCTGCAGCTCCCCAATAAGCGGCATCTGCACATGCGTGCTGACGACCTCGGCTCTCAGCTGCTCTCTAAGCGCGTTGAGGGCCCGTTCCCGCCGCTCCGACGTTTGGGGGTCTTCACCGTACCGCTTCCGCCGCGGCTCCGGCGTGAGCGCCTGCTGCTTGTGTTCCTCCAGCATGTCGAGACGGAACTGCAGCTGCGGCGGGCTTATGAACGCGTGGCCCGCCTCGCGCGTCATCTCCACCCACTGCTGGTACTCCGAGAGCCGGAACGGGGAGTTGGAGATCGAGTTCAGCTGCACGACGTTGCCGTTCTGCGTGGCGCGGAAGCACGGCGGCAGCTCAATCACAATGTGCCACTCCGTGTTGGCCATGTCCGCGGAGAAACCGGAGTACTTTGGGCCGCGCCTCGCGCCCTTCACGCACGCAATGTAGTAGTGGTCGCTGTTGTCTCGCCGCACGTCCTCGCTGCGCATCTCGAGGAGAACCCGCACAAAACACCCCCGAACCACTTCCTCAAAGTTCTTCCACTCGATGAAGTTAACCAGCGTTGTGCGAAATAGCTGCAGTCTGTGCAGCATATCCAGCGCCGGTGGTGGTGTCTGCTCATCTAGCAGAAAGTCTCCTTGCCTCGCTTCCGCCATTGTACTTCTTCCTACAGCAAACTTCTACAACAACAACAGCTGAGCATGCCCAAAGGAGAGGGATAACGGGCGAGCATTGCGGAAGCAAGGCACAGCCTCAACTGTTGAAGCGCTGGCTGTGCAAATTCCACAGCCCAAGCGAAAAGAAAAGTGCACACACCACTTCTTACCTCTGAGGCATCCTCTCCCCTCCTCCCTTGCGCCAGACGTTCAAGAAAAACGCTACTGATAGTTTTGCTGTTATCCAAAAAAGAACAACAACAGCAACAACAACCACAGAAAATAAACAAGGACAAAAAAAAATATAATGTACACCTACACGGCATGTTTCGCACTATGATGTATCTGTGTATCTCTTTGCTAGGGAGAGCACCACAGGTGTGCTGCTGCCTTCCGTTCCGACAGTCAACGCGCGAGGAGTGCTCTGGGCACCGGGGAGCACTTTCGCAGGGCGCGGCGCCGGCGATGCAGGCAAGGCGTTCTCCCCCTCACTCTGCTGCTGCTGGAGCGGCGACCCTTCAAGCAACTCGTTCCGAAGCCGTTGCACCTTCTCATCGCGCAGCTTTTTCCAGCAGCACATCCGCTCGTATATGTCGCCTACGTCACGCAACGTCGACGCCTTCGTGCCGCTGCGGCTTGGCGAAAGGATCGGCGACACGTACTCCTCCAGGCCCAGGCACTCGCCAGCGCTCCTGGTATGCGCCGACTCGTCTGCGTTGTCGCGCCACGAGGAGCCGTGGCTTGACGCGAGCACACCACTCTTGCTTCCTCGCGTCCCAACGTTATCACGCTTTGAGCGGTCCACCATAAGCCGCTCGGTAGAAGAGATCGGGAGGCCAGCGGCGATCATCTCCGACACAGGGTTGATGGTGGGTGTATGCAGCCGCCGCTCCGCCTCCACAATGTCGCGTATCTTCTTCTCGCGCCGCAGCCTGTACTGCCGTTGCCGCTCCTCCATGGAAAGCAGCAGAAGGCTTTCCTGTTGCTGTTGCTGCTGTTGCTTTCCTCGCGGCGAGGCGCCGCCGCCGCTGCGCCGACGCGGACGCAAAGGCGACGCATCCGTCCCGCCCACTGCGTCTTTCAACTCTCTCTCTCTGCGCTCCCTTGCGACAGCCATGAGTCGGTCGGCAACGTCACCATCACGCTTTAACGTTGCGGCGTACGCCGTGATGCGCGGGGCGAGCGGCACCGACTCCTCGCGCATGCGTTGCTGTTGCCGCTCCCACAGGGCGAGCTTTGCGAGGCGGTCCCGCTCCAGCATCGCCTCCACGTACGAGACGCCATTGAGCCCCTCGCGCTCCCTCGCGCGCTCCACGAGAGCCGCGCTGCGGTGGTTGATCTGAGGCGAGTTGTACACCTCTTCGAGCTTCTGCGCCTGCCGGCGGTGACGCGACTCCTCGGCGAGCTGCTCCCGTTCACGTTCCCTTTCGTTCGGCTGCTTCTGCTGCCCCACCGCACGCACGGCGCGGCCCTCCGCGTGGCGACCACGACTCGTGATGGCCGGCTCGAACCAACCTGCAAGGCGCTGCTCAAACTCCCGCTCCCGCCGCATGCGCCTGA